CCCCCCCCCCCCCGGGCTTTTTTTTTTTTTTTTTTTTTTTTTTTTTTTTTAACAAAAGAAAATGTTGGGGACATGGCTTAGTAGTTAAAGCACTTGCTCCATAGACATGATAAGGAGTTCATATTCCTGGAACCCAAGTAAATACTAGGTGGGTGTAACTCCAGCCTCCAAAGGCAGAGGCAGGATTCCCAATGCAAGCTGGCTAGCAAGACTAACCATATGGGTAAGCTCCTGAGTTTGATTAAGGAAACCCTGCCTCAGTAAATTTAGGTGGAAGAGCAATAAGAATGATTCCCAACATCAACCTCAGGCCTACACATCCACCTACCCACACACATGAAAATGGAAAAAGAAAAAGAAGATCTGAAAACAGATCAGTAAGTGATTGTTAAAGACATAGTCATGGGGCATCATGGCAACTATGTAGAGAAGTAAGAGTAGTTAGGCTAATAATTAAGCACCCTGTGTTTGACTCTTAATTCTGCCACTAAATAGCCATTTGAGCTCTTTGGGCTTGAATATCATTTTATAAAATAAGAGTTGGGATACTAGGTAATTTCTTAATAGCCATTAGTTATCCCTGCTGCTATTTTAAAGATTCACCGTAGGGCTTGATGTGGTGACACATACCTTTAGTCCCAACACTCCGGAGGCAGAGACAGTCAGAGCTCTGTGAGTTTGAAGCCAACCTGAACTACATAGCAGTTTCAGACCAGCCAGCACTGCATAGTAAGACCCTGTCTCAATAACAACAACAAAAAATACCCAAAACAGAAAATTCACTCTAAGAGTAGAGGTGTAGCTTAGTAGTAGAACACATTTGGCTAGAGTATATGAGTCCAGGGTTTAATCCCCAGCATTGCAAAGAGGGGAATAATCACCCCAGTTCTGTAAATTCTCACTTATTATATTGACGATATTAAATGTACTGTTCCTACTTATTTAAGAAGAAAATAGGGGCTGGAGAGATGGCTCAGCAGTTAAGAGCACTGATTCCAGAGGAATCTGACACCCTCTTCTGACCTCCATGGCATTGCACAACACGGGTGTGCTCCCATACATGCAAGCAATACACTCATACACATAAAATAAAATAAATTTTTTTAAAAATTAAAAATAGGGGCTGGAGAGATGGCTCATCAGTTAAGAACAGTGGGAAGACCCCGGTCTGAATCCCATCACCCACATGGCAACTAACAACTGTCCATATCTCCAGTCCCAGGGCATCCGACAGCCTCTTCTGACCTCTGCAGGCATTGCACGACCAGGTGCACTTACCTACATGCAGGCAATACACGCATACAAATAAAATAGAAATAATAAATAAAAAAGTTTTTGTTTTTTGGGTTTTTTTTTAAAGAAGAAAATAAAACCAAACTTGTGATGTACCTGTAATCCCAGCACTTGAAATGCTGAGGCAAGAGGATCTTAACTTCCAGGCCAGCCTGAGGCTACAGGGAGACCCTGTCTCAAAAAAAACAAAAAAAAAACAAATTTTTAAATGAAAGGGCCAGGCATGGTGATGCTGCCTTTAATCCCAGCATTCAGGAGGCAGAAGCAGGTGGGTCTCTGTGAGATGTAGACCAGCCTGATCTACATAGGGAGTTCCAGGTCAGTTGGGACTACAAGAAAAAAGATCCATGTTAAAAAACTAAAAGTACAAGGTCTAGAGAGATAGCTCAGTGGTTAAGAGCAATGGCTGCTCTAGTAGAGGACTGGTTTCAAATCCCAGCACCCACATGGTGGCTAACAATCATCTATAACTCCAGTTTCAGGGGCTGCAGTGCCCTCTTCTGACCTCCATAGGCATTACATGACACAGGTGCATTTACTTACATGCAGGCAATACATGCATACACATAAAATAAAAGTAATGAAATATTTTAAATACTAAGTACAGTGTTTAACATGTATAAGACACTGGGTTTGAACTCCAACACCACCAAAAAAACTGAAGTACTTAAGTACATAGCTAGAGAAGATAAAATTATAGAAAAAGTCCTATTAATTTCGTAGGACAGTGATAAATTATTGCAAACTTTATGGCTTAAAACAACAAATATTTATCTTTTTTTAATAATTTTTTAAAATATTTTATTTATTATTTTTATTTTATGTGTATGAGTGTTATGCCTGCATGTAGGTAAGTGCGCCCATGTCGTGCAATGCCCACAGAGGACAGAAAAGGCTGTCAGATCCCCCAGAATTGGAGTTACAGACACTTGTTAGCTCTCAGTGGTTAAAAACACTGACTGTTATTGCAAATATTTCTTTTTACAGTCTAGAAAGCAGAAGTCCAGAATCAAAGTACCAACAGAGCTGGCTCTTTCCTAAGACTCTAGGCGAGAATGCTTCCTTGGTTCTTCTGCCTTCTGCTTCTAGGCATCCCTTAGTTTATGACTATATAACCATGTCCCCTGCCTCTTTATCCTTTATCTGGCCTTTTCCTTCTTTCTGTCTCTGCCTTTCTCTTTTTGGGGGGTCTTTTTTGGGACAGGGTCTCCCTGCAGCCTCAGCTGGCCTGCAGCTTTCTACAGACCTGGCTGGCCTTGAACTCACAGGGATCCACCTGCCTCTGCCTATCAAGTGCAGGGATTAAAGGCATGTGCCACCATGCCCACCTCTGCCTTTCTCTTATAAAGATACTTGCCACCCCATTTACTTGCATCATATGATCTCATATTAAGACCCTCAACTTGGAAGACATGTATGGTGACTCACACCTTTAATCCCAGCACTCAGGCAGCAGAATCAGGTGGATCTCTTTGCTAAATATAGTTGAGTTTACTAGTTTCAGAATTTAGAACATAAGCATGTCTTAGTGGCAGGCATGTACCCATTTACTTCTTCAGATAATTTTAATCCTATTTTTTAAATTGAGTACAAAATATTTTAAATACAAGCTGGAGGCAGAGGCAGGTGAATCTGAGTTCAAGGCCAGTCTTGTCTACATAATGAGTTCCAGGCCAGCTGGGGCTACAGGGAGACCCTGTCTCAAAAAGACCAATCAATCAGTCAATCAAATTTAAATACAAATAAACTTCAGATATCATACATAAGGCATTGTTCTAGAAAGTATTAACATTGCTAGAAATTAAAGAACTAAAATATTTAAATTAATAGGGCTGGTTAAATGGTTCAACAGGTAAAGGCACTTACCACACAAGCCTTGTGACCTAAATTCCAACTCCAGAACCCACGTAAAAGTGGGAGAGAGAGAAATAGCTCAGTGGTTAAGAGCACATACTGCTCTTGCAGAGGACATGGGTGCACTCACATACATGCAGGCAATACACTTGTACTCATAAAATAATAATAAATAAAATATTCTTTTAAAAAGTGGTAGGAGACAGCTGACTACACAAAGTTGTCCTCTAATGAGCCACACATACATCGTGCACACACAGAATCATAATAAAATTTAAAAGATAAAATAATAGACCATGTCCTTGGATTAGATGACAGTTAAGATGTCAGTTCTCCACAGACTTACTCAGAAATTTGATGCACAGTCCCAGTAAAAATGATAAATATGTAACTTCATAAACTGATTCCAACATGTAGAAATAAAAAGCCCCATGAATAAACAAGACATTCTTAAAGAAGAATAAAGCATAAGGAATTAAACTACCAGATTGCAAATTTATAAACTGATATTTAAGAGTGTGATATTACTGTGAAAATGAACAAATAAATCAATGAATAAAGTATAGAAAAAAATAGAGTGTATATCAGAAACAACTCAGATGTGTGAATACTTGATTTAAAACACAAAGATGGCAGTGAGTAGTGATGGGACAGTTGGATATCCCTATAAAACTTTGCACCTTCCTCTTTCTGCAGTTCCCAGTGGACTGAAGTACTAAAACTGAAAAGAAAGCACTTAAAAGAATTCTTGGAAAATGTGAAAGGTGAATGTATGCATAGCTTCGATAAAAGGAAATCCTGCTTAAATAAGACACAGAAAATACTAATCATAGAGGCAAAGATTAGCAGGCGTGGTGAGGCATGCTTTTCCTCCATCCCAGCACTTGGGAGGCAGAGGCAGGTGGATCTCTGTAAGATCAAGGGCAGCCTGGTCTGCATAACAAGTTCTACACCAGCTGGGACTACGGGAGACCCTGTCTCAAAAAGACCAAAAAAAGAAAAAGATTGATGAATTTTGCTTCGTTATAATTAATAACTTTAGTTTCAACAAAACACTTTTTTTTTTTTTCGGACTTTTTGAGACAGGGTCTCCCTGTAGCCCCAGCTGTCCTAGAACTCACTATGTAGACCAGGCTGGCCTTGAACTCACAGAGATCCACCTGCCCCTTAAACAAAACACTATTAAGAGAGCAAAAAAGCTTGGGCTGAAGAGATGGGTCAGCGGTTAAGAGCACTGAGTATTCTTGCAGAGGACCCAGGTTCGATTCCCAGCACCCACATGGCGGCTACAAACCATCCTTAACTCCAGTTCCAGGGGAATCCGACATGGGTGCACTCACATGTAGGCAATACATTCATACACATAAAATAATAAATAAAATATTTTTTTAAAAAAGAGCAAGCCTTAGAGTAGATGTTTGCAATTCATATAACCAACAAAGTTCAAGCCAGAAAAATTCAATTAAAAATGAGTGCTACTTCACATTCACATACAAAAAAAAAAAATTTCAGTAACAGTATGAAAACCAATTAGTTGTCAAGAAAATAGAAATTAAAGCCACATTATGAAGCCAGGTGTGGTGGCATACACTTGTAATCCTAGCAGTCTGGAGGCAGAGGCCAGAGGATTGCAAACTCGGTTGGATGGTTGGTTGGTTGGTTGGTTGGTTGGTTGGTTGGTTGGTTGGTTGGTGACAGGGTCTTTCTGTAGCCCCAGCTGGCCTGGAACTTGATCGTGTTGATCTAGCTGGCCTCATTCTCACAGAGATCTACCTCCCTCTGCCTCCCCAGTGGATGCCTCTGACCTCTTTGGGTACCTGGCACTCATTGTGTGCATGCATGTGCATGCACAGGCACAAATATACACATACACACACATACACAAATTCAAACTTTTTTTTTTTTTTTGGTCTTTTTGAGACAGGGTCTCCCTGTAGCCCCAGCTGTCCTAGAACTCACTATGTAGACCAGGCTGGCCTTGAACTCACAGAGATCCACCTGCCTCTGCCTCCCAAGTGCTGGAATTAAAGGCATGCGCCACCACACCCAGCCTAATTTAAACTTTTTGAAAAGCAAAAGCAAAAAAAAAAAAACACCTTTATTCAAAGCACTTTGGGAGGCAGAGACAAGTGAATCTCTGTCAGATCAAGGCTAGCCAATTCTGTATAGCAAGTTCCAGGCCAGGTAGGCCATTAGGGAGCTCCTGCCTCAGAAAAACAAAACAGAAAGAGCAAAGACATTAATGAAGCCAGGCATGGTGGTCCATGCCTGTAATCCAAGCATGTTGAAGGCTGTAGCAGGAGGATCATGAGTTTGTGGTCAACCTAGGCTACAGTAGCAAGACTCTCATTGCCAAAAAGAAAGCATAATAAAAAATTTAAAAAACTGCATGAAGAAAGGAAAAATAGGGACTGAAGAGATGACTCAGTGGTTAAGAGTCCTCTTTCAGAGGACCCGAGTTCGACTTTGAGTACCCACATGGCAGCTAGCAATTCCAGTTCCAGGGGATCTGATGCCTTCTGGTCTCCACAGGCATTGTATGCACATGTAGGCAAAAGCACTCCTACATACAAAAATCACAAAATAAAAAATCAGTGGCTGGGTATGCTAGCATACTTTGTTAGTCCCAGCACTTGGGAGGCAAAAGCAGGTAGATCTCTGTGAGTTCAAGGCTAGCCTAGTCTACATAGTGAGTTCCAGGTCAGCTGGAGCTACAGAGAGACCCTGCCTCAAAAAGACCAAAATAAAATATTAAATAATTAAATAAACATAAAAAGTATTAATAAAGACTATTCCATAAATAGTGTGGTAGTAACTAATTTGAAAATGGATAACAATGCACGTTTATTGGCATCCTATCTTTTCAGCTCCCTCTTCTCTTGTTTGTACATGTAGATGAGGACAGAACTGTATTTCCTGTCATCTCAGAAGAATCGCCCCAGCCTCTTTGGAATGCCACTGATTGTTCCATGTACTGTGCATACCCGGAAGAAAGATCTCTATGATGCAGTTTGGATTCAAGTATCTCGATTAGCCAGTCCACTCCCACCTCAGGAAGCTAGTAATCATGCTCAGGATTGGTAAGTCTAGGGGGCAAGCCTAATCTTGTGATTTCTAAACATAAAGAATAACTTCTATAAATTTGGCATGATATAGAAGACCCATTTTATATATCCTCTCCCTTTTGTTACTTAGACATCCTAGTGTCGAATAACTTACTCATTCTTTACTATTTCATCTAATTCCCACCTGCAAATACTTCAGGTAATATCTTTGTCTTCTGTTATTTCAAAAGTCGAAAGTGTGAATTCACCAGGAAATATGTTGTGTGGGGCGTTGTTTTGTTTTTTGGGGGGTTTTGGGTTTTGTTTTGGTTTGTTTTTTGTCTTTTTGAGACAGGGTCTCCCTGTATCCCCAGCTGGCCTAGACCAGACTGACCTTGAACTCACAGAGTTCTTCCTGGCTCTGCCTCCCAAGTGCTAGGATTAAAGGCGTTTGCCACCACACCCAGCCTTTCACCAGGAAATTGGTACCATCCCAGTCCTCTGAAATGCAGAATGGGAGTAACAGTGCACATATCTAGATTAGAACTCTGAAAAAAACTCAAGCCATACTGTATTGTTACTTTCTGTTCCTATAATAAAACACCTTGACCAAGGCAACTTCTTGAAGAAAGTTTATTTGGCTTGCTGTTCCAGAGGGAAGAGTCCATAATGGTGGGGGAAGCATGGTGGCTGGAACAGAAATCTGAGTGCTCACTTCTCCAAACAGACACAGGAAGCAGAGCAGAGAAACTAGAAATCCTGCAAGACTTTAAGACTTTTCAGTACTTCCCCCAGTGACTACTTCTAAAGGTTCCAAGACACTCCCCCAAATAGTGCCATGAACTGGGGACCAAGTATCCAAATACTTGAAGCCTGTGGGGGGACACTCATTCAAATCACTACACATACCATGATTCAATTGGGTTTTGTCAATTCATCATGAATCAATTTCATAAACCTAAGGTAGAGATAATGAACATAATAAACTTTTTTTTTTCCATTCCTCCTACTATTCTTTTTTTTTTTCTTTTTTTTAAATTTTATTATTTTGGGAAAGCTGGAGAGATGGCTCAGTGGTTAAGAGCACTGACTGCTCTTCCAGAGGACCTGGGTTCAATTCCCAGCACCCACATGGCGGCTACAAACCATTCTTAACTCCAGTTCCAGGGGAATCCGAAGCCCTCTTCTGACCTCCACAGCATTGCACGACACGGGTGCACTCACATACATGCAGACAATATACTCATATACATAAAATAAAAATAATAAATTTTTAAAAATATTTTTTATTTATTATTTTTATTTTATGTGTATGAGCATATTGACCACATGTGTATAAGTGCACCTGTGTCATGCAATGCCCACAGAGGTCAGAAGAGGCCATCGGATCTTCTGGAACTGGAGTTAGAAGGTTGTTAGCTGCCATGTGTGTGGTGGGAACCGGACCTGAGTCCTCTGAAAGAGCCGCCAGTGCTCTTAACTGCTGAGCCATCTCTCTAGCCCACCTCCTCCTCCTATTCTATAAAATAAATAAATCCACTCACTTTGAATGATCATTGGGATTTGGTGTCATATATTTCAGTTTAATTGAAATTCATTTTCTTGCTCTCACAATGGAAATAGAGGTCAGCTTCTGTGATAATGGAGTGGTGGCGCACGCCTGTAGTCCCAGCACTTGGAAGGCAGAGGCCGGTGGATCTCTGTGAGTTCAAGGTCAGCCTGGTCTACATAGTGAGTTCCAGGGCAGCTGGGGCTACAGGGAGACTCTGTTTCAAAAAAACCAAAAAAAAAAAAAAGTTACATTTGTTACAGTAGAGGGTCTTTTGAGCTTCAGGTAAATCTTAAAGTAAAACAGAAAATAATTCATAAGCAATATAGTTGATGAATGTGCAGTTTTGGTAGAAGTGACATTTGGATAGCCTTAATCTTTTTTGTTTTGTTTTTATTTTTGGCCTTTTTGAGACAGGATCTCCTTGTAGCCCCAGCCGGCCTGGAACTTGCTCTATAGACCAGGCTGGCCTCAATCTCACAGAGATCCACCTATCTCTGTCTCTCAAGTGCCAAAATTAAAGGCATGAGCCACCACACCAGCTTGGATAGCTTTAAATTTGAACGAAGGGTCTGATCTAAGGAGCTTCCAGGTGAGGAATTTGCTCATGAACTGGATTAGATTATGAGAAAAAGGAGTCCAAGCTAGGTTTTCAGCATGAGCAATTGTTTGTGAATGGTAGGATCATTTTATGAAATGAGGAAATCTGGAGAAAGAGCAGGTTTTGGCAAGAAAGGACAGGAGGCAAGTTAAATTTCAAGATAGCTGTTATTCATGTGGGAAATTCATTTGAAGGCCCTTTGCTAGAGTTACAGGTATCACAAACAAATAGATATTTAAAGCCCTAAGATTAGCTGATATCATTTAAAAGAGTAAGAGTTAGAAAAATGTTCCAAGATAGATTTCCTGATACATTTAGCAGTTACAGATTGAAAAAAGGAAGCAAAAGAAACAGCCGGTAATGTATGATCAATCAAAAATTGTCAGGCTGGAGAGATGGCTCAGCGGTTAAGAATACTGGCTATTCTTGCAGAAGACCCGGGTTCAAATCCCAGCACCCACATGACAGCTAACAACTCTGCATAACTCCAGTCCCAGGGGATCCAACAGCCTCTTCTGACCTCTGAGGGCATTGTAGGACACAAGCATACTTACCTACATGCAGGCAATACACACATTAAATAAAAATAACAAATTAAAAAAAAATGAACAGTCATCCTGGGGGCTGGAAAGATGACTCAGTGGTTAAGAGCACTGGCTGCTCTTGCAGGGGACCCGGGTTTGATTCCCAGCACCCTCATGGTGGCTAAGAACTGTCCTTAACTCCAGTTCCAGGGGTATCCAACACTCTTTTCTGACAGGCATTGCACAACATGGGTACACTTACACATATTAGAAAATAAAAATAATAAATTTTTTTAAATATGAAAACAAAGTATCTTTTAAATGAACAGTAATCCAAGAAATGATCAGTTTTTGGAAGTCAGATTGAGCAAGAAACGGACTGAACATTGCCCAATACCATTCATAAAAGAGCAGTCTTTGGTTACCTTGTGAAGTCTGTATGTAGTCTATGTGGAGGCATGAAGGTGGGAGTGGGTTAATGAGGAAATGATCTTAGAAACATTAAAAATTAGATAACTACATTTGTCTTTTGGAAATAGACACCAGAACAAATAACTAAAATTATTAAATGCTTCTAGTTTCTGTACAATTAATTTAGTGAGTCTCGGTGACCAAAACATTGGAACAACTCAAGTGTCCCTCAACAAATAAATAAACAAATAAAATGTAGTGTATACATACGGTGGAATATTTATTCAATCATCAAAGGAAATAGAACACTGATACGTGCTGCAGCATGAACAAAGCCTGAAAACATTGCACTAAGTGAAATAATCAAAACATAAAGTGATAAAATAGGGCTGGAGAGATGGCTCATCAGGTAAAGGCACTTGCCACCAAGTCTGACAATCTTGAATTTGATCACCGACGTGATGGTAGGAGAGAACTGATTCACACAAGTTGTCCTCCGTCTCCACATACCCGCACATAAAAAAATAAAGAGGGGGCTAGAGAGATGGCTCAGCGGTTGGGAGTGCCAACTGCTCTTGCAGAGGACACAGGTTCGAATTGGAGCATCCACATGGCAGCTAATGGCTATCCATAACTCCACTTCCAGAGGATTCAGTGCCCTCTTCTGACATCCACAGGTATTGCATGACACAGGTGTGCTTACATATGTGAAGGCTATCAACTCATACAAATAAAAATAATAGAAGATAATTTTTTTTAAGTGAAAAGAAGACTGGGGAAAAGCTAGACAAGCCTAGCAAGCACAGTGCCATCTGAAAGAATATATCCAAAACAACAAAAGGAGATGGGGTTATCATTGCTTAGCGTCTGCCCTGGTCCCTGTTAGAGTGCTGTTTAATCATTTTTATTCCCTTTTTTTGATTCCTTGGTTGCCTTTCACTTGCTTTGAACATGACAGGGGACATTGTGGGCACCCGCCCGTGACAGGGCCATCAATAATAATTCATGTTACACAGAAAGACGGGGTGCTCCTGTGCCAGACAAATACTTCTGCCTTTTGGGGAGGGGGATCTTTTTGAGACAGGGTTTTCCTGTAGCCCCAGCTGGCCTAGAGCTTGCTATCTAACTAGGCTGGCCTGGAACTCACAGATATCTACCTGCCTCTGCCTCCCAAGGGCTGGGATTACTCGCACTTTACTTTCTTTATAGTGAGGTTTTTTTCGTGGCTTAATGACCTTTAGCAGTCCTGTGACAGCCACTCCCAGTTGCCAAATGAGCTGTTGCATATACTACTTTATATCAGGGCCCTTGTGTTGCTCCCTCCCCACAAGCTTTCTGAACTGTAATTAACAAGATTGTACCCAGGCTCTTTGTATTAGTCACTTTTCTGTTGCTGTGATAGAAACACTGACCCAAGCAATTTATAGAAGAAAGAGTTTATTTGAGCTTACGGTTCCAGAAGAATTACAGTCTATCATGGCAGGGAGGTGGCTTACGGTTCCAGAGGAATTACAGTCTATCATGGCTGGAGGCGGCTAGAGCAGGAGCAACAGATGCTCAGCTCTCACATTATGTAGGCACAGGAAGCAGAGAAGAACTGGAGAACTGGCAAGGCTTAAGAACAAGCCCACCTCCAGGATAGCCACACCTTCTAAAACCTCCCAAAACAGCGCCATCATCTGAGGACAAAATGTCCAAATACTTGGAGCCTTTGGGGGACATTTTCATTCAAACCATCACACTTTTGTACTTGCTAAACACCTCTGCTACAGATCTGTGAGTTCGAGGCCAGCTGGGGCTACAGGAAGACCTTGTCTCAAAAAAAGACCAAAAAAAAAAAAATTTAATTCTTGCCAGGCGTAGTAGCACATGCCTTTAATCCCAGCACTCTGGAGGCAGATCTCTGTGAGTTCAAGGCCAGCATGGTGTACATAGTGAGTTCTAGGACAGCTGGGGCTACAGGGAGACCCTGTCTCAAAAAGACCGAAAAAAAAAAAAAAAAAAGTTAATTCTAAGGATAGTGTATAGCGTACAGCTTTGAGTAGTAGGGAAAATAGGTATCCTAACATGCACCACAAATTGGGAATCTAATTAAAGAAGGCTTCTAAATATATATTCCTCTTTGGAGTGACATTGCTAATGCCATAGAAAGACCTAGGTATTTTAATGTAAATTTAATTCTCTGGTAAAAATTAAGGATAATTAATGTTTGGTTTCATGGTTACCTTATACAATTTTGTGAGCTATAAAACATCTGCGTGGGTTGAGGGATACTGCTCAAGTTGATAAAATGCTTGCCTAGCATGCTTGAGATCCAGGGTTAAATTCCCAGCACTGCATAAAATGGGTATAGTAGTGCACACTTGTAATCTCAGCACTGGAGAGGTGCAAGCAGGATCACAAGTTGAAGGTTATCCTCAGCTATGAGTCTCTGGTGGTATACCCCTCTAACCTCAGCACTAGGGAGGCAGAGGCAGGTGAATCTCTGTGAGTTTGAGGCCAGCCTGGTCTACAGGCCAGTTGGGACCTTAGGGAGACTCTGTCTCAAAAAAAAGAAAAGAAAAAGGCCTGTGGCAATCTAGTACATGCTTCTTCCTGTAAGCAAGATAGAGTCAGAGGAGCTGAAAGATAGCTCAGTGGTTAAGAGCACTGGATGCTCTTGCAGAGAAACTGGGTTCAGTTCCCACATTCACATGGTGGCTAACAACTGTCTATAAAACTCCCATTCCAGGGGATCTGACACCCTCCTCAGATTTCCAAGGTCATTTACACAGGTGCACTTACATGCAGGCAACATATTCATACACATTAAAAAATAAATAAAATCTTTTTTTTAAAAAGATATAATCAGTCTAGTGTGACTGGGTCAGGGATGAATTTGGTGGATTAGGATTAGCAGCATTGAGCTGCACAGTGCTGTGGAAAGCGATTCTTCCTAGCATCACTTAAAGAGATTTCAAACCAGAAAGGCTTCTTAGACTTTATGTTTCTTCTATTTCAGTGATGACAGCATGGGCTATCAGTATCCATTCACTCTACGAGTTGTACAGAAAGATGGGAATTCCTGTGCTTGGTGCCCGTGGTATAGGTAAAGTAATCTTCTGTGAAACAAAAATTTTTATACAATTTGGAGCTTCAAATATTATATCTTTTTTCGAAACATTTCTCACTCTGAAATGTACTGGTGAATTATGAGAAGCTTAAAATAAACTTGGGAATAGTTTATCTCTTTGTGAGATCTATAGCCAAAAAAAAAAAAAAATGCTTTCCAGTCTCGTGTAGTTTTACAGACTACACTTCACCCCGATTATAACTTGCAATAAATGTTATTATTCTAAACTTTCTTTTTTCTTTTTTTATTTTTAGTGGAGTCTCACTGTGTTGCCCAGGCGGATCTCAAACTCCAGGGCACAAGTGATCACCCTTCCTCAAGCCTCCTGGGTTCTGTGACTATATATATGCATGCCCTACCTTTTATTCTGAACATTCTTTGTGCTTCTTAAATATAAATCAGTTTGGTCAGGTGTGGTGGTGCACGCCTTTAGTCCCAGCAGTTGGGAGGCAGAGACAGGTGGGTCTCTATGAGTTCAAGGGCAGCATGGTCTACATAGTGAGTTCCAGGTCAGCTGGGACCACAGGGAGACCCTGCCTCAAAAAAAAGACCAAAATAAATAAATAAAAAATAAAATATAAATCAGTTTGGCAGTTTTGAGCCAGTAGAACATAGTCTGCTTACTGAACTTTGCTGGCAGTCTGTTCTGGGTTTTAGAAGAGTTTGATGGGTAGGTCATTGCTATTACAGCAGGGAAAGTGTCTGACAATACTGAAGTCAGCTTTTAGAGAACTCTAATGGAACAAATGGAGTCAGATAGACATTAGAGCCAGGGCTGTGTTTCATTCTCATGTCTACCTCATTTTTTTTTCCCCTTTGGTCTTTTTGAGACAGGGTCTCTCTTTAGCTCCAGCTGGCCTGGAACTCACTATGTAGACCAAACTGGCCTTGAACTCACAGAGATCCACTTGCCTCTGCCACCCAAGTGCTGGGTTTAAAGGTGTGCAACACCACGCTCGGCTAGTTATCTTACCTCAGAACATTATAGAACTGAATTTATAATGTCTTTGAAGTCAATTTATATGAAATAGTGACTGATTGTTGTATCATTTACTTGCTGTGAATGTTTATCAAATGCTTTATGAAACTAAAGATTTGACATGATAAACATGATCTGAGAAATATTAATTTGCCTTGAACTTTTTTATTATTTTGTGTGTACATGTGTATTGCCTGTATGTATGTAAGTGCATCTGTGTCTTGCAATGCCCACCGAGGTCAGAAGAGGGCATCTGATCCCCTGAACTGGAGTTGCGGACAGTTCGCTACCATGTGGGTGCTGGGATTCAAACCTGGATTGTCTGCAAGAATAGCCAGTGCTTTTAACTACTGTACCATCTCTCCAGCCCCATAATTATTAATTTGTATTACTGCATTTATCAGAGTGTGAAGTTTAAATACTATGGCAAATTATGAAGCCAAGAGGAAAGTTAAAAAGTAAGAAGTGGGCTGGAGAGATGGCTCAGTGGTTAAGAGCACTGACTGCTCTTCCAGAGGACCTGGGTTCAATTCCCAGTACCCACCTGGTGGCTACGAACCATTCTTAACTCCAGTTCCAGGGGAATCTGAAACCCTTTTCTGACTTCCGTGGCATTGCAAGACATGGGTGCACTCGCATACATTCAGGCAATACACAAATATACATAAAATAAAAATAATAAAATTTTTTTAATTAAAAAAAGAAAGTAAAAAGTTATTTCTTCTGTGAATTTTCCCCCCTTTTAGATTCTGCAGAGGCTGTAAAATTGATTGTGGGGAAGACAGAGCCTTCATTGGAAATGCCTGTATTGCTGTGGATTGGGATCCCACAGCTCTTCACCTACGTTATCAAACATCACAGGAAAGAGTAAGTACTTGGTGCCTCATAAGATGATGTTTCTTAGATTGGAGCTTTTCCCCAGTTTAACTCTACTGTGACAATTTAAATAAAACCAGAAAAAAGGATCATTGATTTTTTTTCTCTATTGCATTTAATATACTGACATGGTTGCTTGACTTTTTTTATTTACCAACTTTTTTCTTTTTTAATTTTATGTGTATGAGTGTTTTATCTGCATGTATATAAATGCACCAGTGTCATGCCCTCAGAGGCCAGAGAGAGGGTATGGGATCCCCTGAAACTGAAGTTACAGGAAGTTGTTAGCTGCCATGTGGATGCTGGGAACCAAACCCAGAGCCAGTGCTCTTAACTTCTGATCCATCCCTCCACCCCCATTTACTAACTTCTAGAATTGACAGTATTGGAGCATCACATTTCAAAAATATTGAAAACAAGTAAATCTTGGAACAAAACAGTATAATTAAGAAGTATATTCTCTGGGTATGGAAGCTGTAGGGGCTTTGTTCTGGGTTTTTGTTTGGGGAGTTTGTTTGTTTGGTGTTGGGGGTTTTTTGTTTGTGGTTTTGGGGGGTTTTGGGTTTTTTTTTTTTTTTTTTTTTTTTTTTTTGAGACAGGGTCTCCCTTTGTAGCTCCAGCTGATCTGGTGCTTGCTACATAGATGAGACTGACCTTGATCTCACAGAGATCTGCCTGCCTCTGTTGGGATTAAAGGTATGTACCACCACCACAGACTGTGGATTTTTTTTAGTAGACTTTTTTTTTTTAATTGTATATGTATGTATGTGTGAGCATGTGTAGAGATCAGAGGACAGCTTTATGGGGTCAATTCTCCTATCTACCTATACATGGGTTCTATATATGGGACTCCAGTCACTAGGCTTCTAGGCTTGCCCATCCAGGGCCTTTATCCACTCAGTGAGCACAGTGGGCCGTCTTTTCAGCCGGTTTGGTTTTTGTTTGTTTGTTTGGATTTTTGTTATTGTGGAGGGTGTTGGATATTGTTGTTATTGTTTTGAGGCAAGGTCTTATATATCTCAGGTTGGCCTCAAACTTGGTATGTAATAGTCAAGGATAATTCTGAGCTTCCTTTTTTAAAAATTTATTTTTATTTTTATGTGTATGAGTGGTTTGCCTACATGTATGTAAGTGCACCCATGTGTGCAATGCTCATGGAGACCAGAAGAGGCATCAGATCCCCTGGAACTAGAGTTATAGATGGTTGTTGGACACTATGTAGGTGCTGGGATCCAAATCTAGTTCCTCTATGAGAGCAGCTAGTGTTCTTAACTACTGAGCCATCTCCAGCCTAACTCAGGCATCTGATAGGCAGCAGCCAGCTGTGGTGATGCACACCTGTAACTCCCCCCACCCTCTGAGGCTGAGACAGGAGAATCTTCATGAATTCAAATCCAGCCTAATGCATAGCCAAAGACCCTTATCTCCAAAAACTTTTTTTGGCCGGGCATGGTGGTGCATGCCTTTAATCCCAGCAGAGGCAGGCAGATCTCTGTGAGTTCAAGGCCAGCCTGGTCTGCATAGTGAGTTCCAGGACAGCTGGGGCTACAGGGAGACCCTGTCTCAAAAAGACAAAAAAAAACAAAAAACAAAAAAAAACCTTTTTTTTGTTTTGTTTTGTTTTGAGACAGGGTCTCCTTGTAGCCCCAGCTGACCTAGAACTTCCTATGTATACCAGAGTGGCCTCAATCTCACAGAGATCCACTAGCCTTGAAAAATGATCTAATAGATTGGGGATAATGCTAAATAGCATGTGCAGGGCCTTAAATCCCCAGCACCTAAAAAAGAAAAGAAAAATCTAAAAAGAGTCTCATAAAGAAGTGAAAGAAGCTGAATCAAGAGTTTTTAAAAGGATTGTAGTGGGTTTTGTTATGTGGCTTTGAATTGTTAGAAATTTCCTTTATTTGTTTAAAAAAAAAAAAATTCCCTTGGGGCTGGAGAGATGGCTCAGTGGTTAAGAGCACTTGACTGCTTTTGCAGAGTACCCTGGTTTGATTCCCAGCACCCACATGATGGCTAACAACCGTCTGTAACTCCAGTTCCAGGGGATCCAACACCATCTTCTGACCTTCAAGGTTACCCCTTCTGACGACAGGGGTGCAGTTACACACATGCAGGCAATAAACTCATACACATAAAAATATAATAAATAATAAATAAAATATTGAACTGGGCATGGTGGCACATGCCTTTAATCCCAGCACTCCAAAGGCTGAGGCAGGTGAATCTTTGTGAGTTCAAGGCCACCCTGGTCTACATAGTGTGTACCAGTCCAGCTGGGCCTACAAAGAGACCTTATCTCAAAAAGTCAAAAAAAAAATTGTGAATTTCATGCAATATATTTTGATCACATTTAGACTTCCTCTCTTCCTTTAATCCCAGCATTTGGGAGGCAGAGGCAGGTGGATCTCTGTGAGTTTGAGGCCAGTCTGGTCTACATAGTGAGTTCCAGGCCAACTGGGGCTACAGAGGGACCCTGTCTCAAAAAGACAATAAATAAACAAAAATTTAAAAATAGTCCCCTCCCCTATCTACACCTCTCTTTAGCCCCCCTCCCACCAGATTTTATGTGCTCTGCCATATATATTAAGGCCTATCGAGTCAAGTTTCTGTCCCCAAATGTCCTTTGATGTACATCCATCCACTGGAGCCTGGCTAACCTATCTAGTGTCACTCCCTCTTCCAGCAGTTACTGGTTGCCAATAGTTCCTCAGCTAAAGTTGGGACTTCTTACCCACGTCCCTACTGTGCTTCAATTTTGTCTGGCTTGAGTTTGTGTGTGTCTTGTGCATGCTGTGATGCATTGCTGTGAGTTCATATGAGTAACTTCTGAGTTGTTTGGAAAAATCATTTCTTGTGGTCATCCACCATGTCTGACTCTTAGAATCTTTCTGCTCCCTCTTCCACAATGGTCCCTGAGCCTTGGGTGGCAGAGATTGATATAGGTGTCTAATCTTTTATTATATATTTATTTGTGTGTGTGTGTCTGTGTGTGTATGTGTGTGTATGTATCTGTGTACCTGCACACATGCCTGCCGTGGCACATGTAAAAAGGTCAGAGGACAACTTGTGGGAGTTGGTTTTTTTCTTCTACCATTTGGGTCCTGGGAATTGAACTCAGGTCCTCAGACTTGGTGGCAAGTGCTTTCACCTACTCAGCCATCTCACTGGCCCAAGACACCAGATTTTTTTTTTTTTTTAACAAGCAGTATGTAGGGCTGGGGGTGTAACTCAGTTGGTAAAGTGCTTGCCTAGTATGCATGAAGCCCTGGGTTTGCTCTCTGGCACTACATAGACCAGGCACGGTGGCACATGCCTATAATCCCAGCACTGTGGAGACTGAGACAGAAAAATCATGAGTTTAAGGCCAGCCTTGGCTATATAGTAAGACTCTATCTCAAAAACAAAAGAAAAATTTTATCAATATTTTGATAGTGGTTGCCTTTATGTTAAGAATATAGGATCGGGGCTGAAGAGATGGCTCAGCGGTTAAGAGCACTGACTGCTCTTACAGAGGACCCGGTCTCGATTCCCAGCACCCACATGGCAGTTATGACCCGTCCTTAACTCCACTTCCAGGGGAATCTGAAGCCCTCTTCTGACCTCCGCGGTATTGCATGACACAGGTGCACTCATGTACACGCAGGCAATACACTCATACACATAAAATAAAAATAATAAATAAAATGTTAAAAAATAAATCAATCCAAGAAGGAGAAAAAAAACTAAATATAAAAAGTGCCAGGTATCATGGTACATGCCTATAATCCTAGCATTCAGGAGACAAGAGGCAGGCAGATCTCTGAATTCAAGGCCAACCTGGTCTAATAGCAAGTTCCAGGCCTGCCGGGGCTATATCATGAGACCCTACCCCCCAAAAAACAAAAATAGGGATGAAGAGATGGCTCAGTGGTTAACGGCATTGGCTGTTCCTGCAGAAGACCTAGGTTTGAATCCCAGCACCCACATGATGACTAACAGTCCATAACTCCAGTTCCAGGGGACCCAACACCCTCTTCTATCCATGAGCACTGCATGACACAGGTATACTTACATACATGCAGGCATAACACTCATACACATAAAATATATATAAATAAATAATAAATAAATAAATAAATAAATAAATAAACTGAAAAACAGCCAGGCTTGGTGGCACATACCTTTAATCCCAGCACTGGGAGGCAGAGGCAGGCAGATCTCTGTGAGTTCAAGGACAACCTGATCTACATAGCAAGTTCTAGGAAAGCTGGGGCTACAGGGAGACCCTGTCTCAAAAAAAATAGAGACCCTCCCCCCCCAAAAAAAGACAAGAATATAAAAGGTTGAGCCAGGCATGGTAGTACAGGCCTTTAATCCCAGTAATCTGTGATTTCCTGATCTACAGGTGGATCTCTTTGAGATTGAGGCCAGCCTAGTCTACATAGTGAGTTCCAGGCCAGCTGGGGCTACAGGAAGACCCTATCTCAAAAAGACCTATTGAGAAAACTGGGCATAGTGCATGCTGGGTACAGTGGCATGTGCCCATAGTACCAGCATTCAGGAAGGTGAGACAAAGATCCTGAGTTTAGGCTAGCCTAGGTTACATAGAGAAGTCAAGGCCAGCCTGAACTACAGAGAGAAAGAGACACACAGTCTGAGAGAGATTGTTAGTACATTATTACTACCAATTTTGAGAAAGAAGTCAGTGACTCAAACAAGATTTCCTTTTTTATTATAAAAACAGATCCAGAGTTCCTCTTTTAAGTGGAGTTCTTTAGAACAGATGTGGTGCTGCAGTGCTAAAACTTTAATTGCATGATGAACTTCAACCTTGATAGTTTATTGATACATTGGCAGCCTTGTGACTTACCCAGTAGGGAAAAAGTCTCACTTCAAAACCTATTGTAAACAGAATGGCCTAAGACGTACCAATTTATAATCCAAGCAACCCAGTGTTCCCAGAGTTTAAGTAAAAGGTAACAGGAAATTGCTACAGATGAAGATAACCAGTTGACCTGTGGAGGGGCAGTAAGTGGGGTGGTAGACACATGTGGGACTTTTGCCAGAAAGAAGCAGTCATTATTGGGTTTGGAGTCCAGGCTCTGCCTTGAAAGAAAAATATCAGAATTCCTATTTGAAAGTCCCAGGTAGCTGTCAAAGTCCCAGGTAGCTGTCATATTCCTGATGCCAAGCCTCTCCTACTTTTTCACACAAAGAAAGACAAGTCTCAGCTCCGTGAGGCTTAATTGCTTGTCAGAATATAGGCAAGAATGGAAGACTGGGGAAAATATCTTTTACTGTAATATTTTTGGTCCTCTCACTTTCCCTGTCCCACTACACCCCACCCAACTCCTAATACACTCTCTTTGTGTGGTTTTTGCTTTATGGTGCTAGGGATTGAACCCACAGCCTCAAAGCACTCTAGGCAAACACTCTACCACAAAGTTACATGCCCAGCCTTTGCCCTTTGTTCTGCTTACCTTGTCCCAAAGCTTATCATGCTGATAACCAGGACCCCCAAAGTTTTGGCTAGAAATTAGAGGTCATATCAAAAAGTGGTCGCTCTTTTAAACTTGCTTTTTCTTTTGTTGCCATCACGTGGACCCCATAGGATTGAGGCTGCAGCTCAGTGGTAGAGTACCTACCTAACTAGCATGCATGAGGCTCTGGGTTTGATCCCTTTACTCTCCCTCCAAAAAAGGACCCCCTTCCTCCAAAAAAGGTCATGAAACAAATAATGAAAGCACTTGGTATTCTGGTAAGTCTGTTGCGTGGTGTTGATATGCAGATGAGTTGTATATTATAGAGTTTAATGCCTGGTATGTTGTCTTCTCACAAAGACTTTTTCTGGATCTTCTCATTTCATTCAAATCTCGCATCTGTATTTCCATGATATTATTTCTTCTACTCTCTGTCAAGTATGCAGTATTCTAATACTGTCTGACTGAAAAATAAATGACTTTTGACTAAGCGTGGTGGCAGCACTTGGGAGGCAGAGGCAGGTAGGTGGTCTCTGTGAGTTCAAGGCCAGACTAATCTACATAGTGATTTCCAGGCCAACTGGGGCTGCAGGGAGACCCTGTCTCAAAAAGACATACATACATACATACATACATACATACATACATACATACATACATACATAAATACATACATAAATAAATAAATAAAATGACTTTCTCTTAGTAGACTTCTCTTGAAGGCTAGTCCGCATGTAAACTATTTAAGGATTTCAAAATTGTGAAATATGGGGGCTGGAGAGATGGCTCAGCGGTTAAGAGCACTGACTGCTCTTGCAGAGGACCCGAGTTTGATTCCCAGCATCCACATGGTGGCTATGAACCGTCCTTAACTCCAGTTCCAGGGGAATCCGAAGCCTTCTTCTGACCTCTGCGGCATTGCACAACACCAGTGCACTCACATACATGTAGGCAATACACTCATACACATGAAATAAAAATAATAAATAAAATTTTTTTAATTGTGAAATAAACAGGTGGTTTCTTGTTTGGTTTTGTTTTTGTCATTTTGAAGGATTCATAAAAATTTCAAGAGAAATTATGGTCATGGAATGGGGATGTAGCTCCATTAATAGAGTGCTGGCCTAACATTCTCAGAGCCCTGGGCTTAGTCTCAGGACAGCATAAAATCATGTGTGGCAGTACACACCAGTAATCCCAGTACTTAAGAGATGGACACATGTTGTCTGACAGACTTTTCCTGAAGAAACACAACACACCCCTGACTATTCATCCCAAAAAGAGAATAGTAACAATTGCACAAAAGTCCAACTTGGTGAACTAGTGAGTTTGTATTGGAGTTGCTAACAGGAGTATGGAGGAGTTACTTATAGGAACAGGGAGGACTCAGAAGCATCACCAAAAGGCCCACCCCAGCATGGGTGACAACTCAGAAAAGCTGTACAATTTTCAAACATCTGGACAGGTCTGAGAAATTTTCTCAGCAGGTTGGCTGGTTAGTCTCCTGCAGCAGTTGTTACTGCTTCACGTTTCAGTTTTCTCAAGACATAAGAAATTTGTTTACTTCTGAGTCTCATGAGCCTCTTGCCCCCTCCTGGAGGGGATATTTCAATTTGGGGAAAACTGTTATACCATTAGGCAGCAGTATCAGAATTTCATAGTTATCCTTGACAATATAGCAAGTTCAAGGACAGCCTGGGCTACTTGAGACACTGGCTCAAATAAAAAGAAAACTGTAGTCATATAAGTAGGCATTCATTCAGGATGTTAATTGAAATAATATTTGTGGATACATGTGTATATGTGGTATTGCTCAAATACTTTAATTTGAGTTTTGTTTTTTGTTTTTTCCCTCATGTAGAATAGGGAAGAGCAAGTGACTGAGAAGATAATGTGTATCTTGGTGATCTTTTTTGTGTGTGTCTTTTTAAGACAGGGTCTCCCTGTAGCACCAGCTGGCCTAGAACTTACTGTATAGACCAGGCTGGCCTTGATCTCAAGATTCTCCTGCCTCTGCCTCCCAAAATGCCCTCTGCATAATCCAAAATATCTGCATCATCCTGTCCTCTCCTTGTAGGTTGTAGAGGAGCATGAGAGTGTGGAGCAGAGTCGGCGAGCACAAGCTGAGCCTATCAACCTGGATAGCTGTCTCCGTGCCTTCACCAGTGAGGAAGAGCTAGGGGAAAATGAAATGTACTACTGTTCCAAGTGTAAGACTCACTGTTTGGCAACTAAGAAGCTAGATCTCTGGAGGCTTCCTCCGATCCTGGTATGTTGTAGCCCCATCTCTAAGAAAACAAGAATGAAGGAAATTATTAATAGCACTTTTTATTCTATTTGCAAACAAGATCATTCCTAGTAGCTGTGTTTATTTTTCTACCTGGATATGATGGCACATGTCTGTAATCCCAGAACTTGGGAGGCTGAGGCAGGAGGATCACCAAGAGTCTAAGGTAGCCTGAACTGCATAGTGAATTCCAGGCCAACCTAGGGTTCCGGGTAAGACCCTCTCAAAGAATGAATGAATAGGAGCTGGAAGAATGGTTCAGCACTTAAGGGTACATACTGCTCTTACAGAGGACCCAAGTTTGGTTCCTAGCACCCACATCAGGCAGCTCACAGCCACCTATAACTTCAGCTCCAGGCCTTTGACCTCCTTAGACACTTGTACTCATGTGCACAGACACACACACACACACACACACACACACACACACACACATAATTAAAAATGGAAATCTTTTTTAAAAAATGAGTCAGTAGCTGGGTGTGGTGGCACATGCCTGTAGTCCCAATATTTGGGAGGCAGAGGCAGGTGGATCTCTGTGAGTTCAAGGCCAGCCTGGCCTACATAGCAAGTTCCAGGACAGCTGGGAATACAGGGAGACTCTGTCTCAAAAAAGACCAAAAAATAAATTAATTAAAAAAAAAAAAAGCAAAGAAAAAAAATGAATTAACAGAGCTGGGCATGGTATTGTGTGCCTTAATCCCAACACTCAGGAGGTATAGGCAGGTGGATCTCTGTGAGTTCAAGGCCAGCCTGGCCTACATAGCAAGTTCCAGGACAGCTGGGAATACAGGGAGACTCTGTCTCAAAAAAGACCAAAAAATAAATTAATTAAAAAAAAAAAAAGCAAAGAAAAAAAATGAATTAATAGAGCTGGGCATGGTAGTGTGTGCCTTAATCCCAACACTCAGGAGGTATAGGCAGGTGGATCTCTGAGGTTAAGGCCAGCCTAGTCTACATAGCAAGTTCCAGGCCAGCTGACAAACAAGGAGACTGTGTCTCAAAAATAAAACTCTTCTGTGCGACATTTTTATTTTATGTTGAACAGAGAGATTAATTGTTCTAAAAGCATGTGCTAGGTCCTGTAACAGGAACTTAGAGCCTTGAAGGAGAGAGAAGTAATAAAGACAAGTAACTACAATCTGCAGCATGAGAAATGCCATAAGTGTGTTGTTACCTTATAAATTTGAATTTCAGAAGAGGTGAAAGTTCTTCTGGCCCTAAGGAAAGGAAATTTTAGGCTAGCCCATAATTAAACTATAGGAAAACAACCAGTGTTTAGTCAACTTAGTTACATGGCTGTACATACTACTGTGTCTAGTGTATGAGTAAGCACACCAATGCACAGAAGTCATATGTTCTTTTAGGTTTTATTTACTTCTTCCTGCCTCCTGTTGTCCAACAAATTGATTTAAGGCAGTATTTTTTTAATTATTATTATTTTTATGTGTATGCGTGTATTGTCTGCATGTGGGTAAGTGCACCCGTGTGGTGCAATGCCCACGGAGGTCAGGAGAGGCTGTCAGATCCCCTGGGACTGGAGTTATGGACAGTTGTTAGCTGCCATGTGGGTACTGGGACTTGAACCCGGGTCTTCTGCAAGAACAACCAGTGTTCTTAACCGCTGAGCCATCACTCTAGCCCTTAAAAAGTATTGTCTGTGAGCTGGGCATGGGTACATGCCTTTAATCCCAGCACTTGGGAGGCAAAGGCAGGTGGATCTCTGAGTTCAAGGCCGGCGTGGTCTCTGTAGTGAATCCAGGCCGGTTGTGACTACAGGAAGACCCTGTCTCAAAAAGACCAAAAAAAAAAAAAAAAAAAGGAAAGTATTTTAAGTATTTTCTTAGGGTTGGAGAGTTAGCTCAGTGGCTAAGGGCACAGAGGACCCAAGTTTGGTTCCAGTTCCATAAAATAAATAAGATGTTTAAAATGTTTTCTCTCCAGACATAGTGGTCCATGTCTGTAGTCTCAGCACTTGAGAGACTGAGATAGGAAGATTTCCATGAGTTCCCGGCCAACCTGAGCTACAGAGTGAGACCTTGCCAAAAAATAAAAGAGAGAGAGGGATAAAGAGATGACTCAGTGGGTAAAACACTTGGAAACTCCTGTACCAGGTAGCCTGGCAGTGAACAATATGGGGGGAGGGGGGGCTCTGTCTCAAACAAGATGGAATGCAAGGACCAACAGTTGAGGTTGTCCTATGACCTTCACACACAGGTACCATCTCCGGAGGGAAAAGAATGCATTTATTGGTGGAAGTCTCTTTTTCTCAGTGCTAAGGATTGAACAGATGGTCTTGTGCATGCTCAGCACGATTCTACACCCAGCAGTACTAGGATTTTTTTTGAAAATTTATTTATTTTTATTTTATGTATATAAGTGTTTTTGTCCTCCCTGGATGTAAGTGCATGCATCTGTGACATGCAATTCCTGCAGAAGCCAGAAGGAGGGCATCAAATCCGCTGGAACTGGATTTACTGATGGCTGTTAGCCACCATGTGGATACTGGGAATTGAACCCAGGTCCTCTACAGGAGCAGCCAGTGCTCTTAACCAGCGAGCCAGTCCTAGAATTTCTGTGTGTGTGTGTGTGTGTGTGTGTGTGTGTGTGTGTGTGTGTGCGCATGCACGAATACATTTATATGTGTTCATATGCATGTGAGAAAGCCAGAAGTTGATGTGTGGGTGTTATCAGTCATTCTTTAATTCTGCCTGCCCCCCCCCCTTTTTTTTTTTAGAGAGAAAAGGTCTTCTTGTAGCCCTAGCTGACCAGGACTTGATATGTAGACCAGACTGACTTCTAAAGATCTGCTTCCCAAATGCTGGGATTAAAGATGTGTGCCACCACTCCTTCCACCTTTATATGGGTTCTAGGGATCAAATTCATATATTCAGTCCTCACAACAAAAACTTTTACTCACAACCATCCCACCAACCCACCACCTTATTTTTTGAGGCAAGATCTCTCACTGAACCTGGAGCTGCTCATTAATTTAGCTAGGCCAGCTGGCCATTGAGCTCCAGGAATCTGCCTCTCTCCACCTCCACCTCCCCAGCACTGGAGTTCAGACATGGGTACTAGGGATCTACACTCATGTCTTCATGCTTACATAGCTTGTATTTTACTCACTAAACCATTTCCTCGGCCCCAGGAGTAGGATATTTTAACAAGACATAGGTATATTTTCTTATTTGTTTGTTCCATTTGTTTTAGTTTTTGTTTTGAAAATTTTTTGTGTTTAAATGTTTTGCCTGCATGTATGTAAGTGTACCTGTGTCATGCAGTGCCAACAGAGGCCAGAAGAGGTCATCAGATCCCTTGGACCTGGAGTCATGGACAGTTGTTAGCTACCCTGTGGGTTTCTGGGGTACTCAGAACCAAACCCAGGTTCTCTGCAAGAGTAGCCAGTGCTCTTAACCACTGAGCCATCTCTCCAGCCCTATTTCCTTATTTGTGTTGTCATCCTACCATTTTGTGAAACTAAATGTAGCTCTTTCCCTAGACCAGAATAGCTTCCCAAGGAAGAATTCACAAGAAATTGATAACATTTATTTAGCTAGCTCCAGAAATGAGAACTGGGGGAAGGGAAGGAGAGAGCAGGGGCAAACTTGAAAAGCTGGTAGGTGGGGGGGAGAGGGATTTTTACAAACTATATTAGGTATAATTAATATATAACTAAATGGATAGATTTTAAATGTCAAGTTTGATGAGTTTTGCCAATTATACATATCCATAACTATCACATAAAACAAGAGGTAAAGACAGTATTTAAAAACATTTTTCAGAGCTACGTGTGGTGGCGCACACCTTTCATCCCAGCACATGGGAGGCAGAGGCAGGATCTCTGTGAGTTCGAGGCCAGCCTGGTTTACGTAGCAAGTTCCAGGCCAGCTGGGGCTACAGGGAGACCCTGTCTCAAAAAGACCAAAAAGGAAAAAAAAGACAAAAACATGCTTTTCAGATTGTTAAAGAACAATGAAGCACAAATGTTATATGTTCTTCACAACCTTTTAATGCAGATGTTTCCTACTTTTTCTTCTCCAGATTATTCACCTTAAACGATTTCAGTTTGTAAATGGACGGTGGATAAAATCACAGAAAATTGTTAAATTTCCTCGTGAAAGTTTTGACCCTAGTGCTTTTTTGGTACCAAGAGACCCAGCTCTCTGTCAACATAAAACACTCACACCCCAGGGGGATGACATCCCTGAGCCAAGGATTCCATCTGGAGAGATGAAGAAGGTGGACACCCAGAGCTCAGCAGGGGAGGAGGATGTACTCCTGAGCAAGAGTCCATCATCACTCAGTACAAATGTCACCGGTAGCCCAAAAGGTGAGGGGGGGCGGTGCTAACGCAGGGGTTTTCTTTTTCTTTCCTTTTCCTTTCTTCTCTTTTCATTCCTTTTCTTTTTTGAAACAAGGTCTCACTATGTAGCACCAACTGGTCTTGACCACCTATAGGCTGCCTTCTGTTCTGAAGGAACTTATCTAGAATCAGACCTCTATATGTGAGCTATGTGACTTTTAACAAGAGATAGAGCCTCCCTAAATCTAGTTTTTTATTTTCTTGAAACAGGGTCAATTTGTACCTCAGCTGGCCTGGAACTCTCTATGTGGACCAGGCTGGCCTTGAACTCACAGAGATTCGCCTGCCTCTGCCTCCCAAGTGCTGGTATTAAAGGTGTGTGCCACCAGGCATGGCTAGTTTTTTATCTTATTTATTTTATTAATTTTTTATTTTTTATTTTTTTGGTCTTTTTGAGACAGGGTCTTTCTATAACCCCAGCTGGTCTGAAACTCACAATGTAGACCAGGCTGGCCTCAAACCCACAGAAATCCACCTGCCTTTGCCTCCTGAGTGCTGGGATTAAAGGCATGTGCTACCATGCATGGCTAGTTTTTTAATTTTTTTTATTTTTGTTGTTGTGTGTGTTTTTTTTTTTTTTTTTTTTAGACAAGGTCTTTCTGTAGCCCCAGCTGGCCTGGAACTCATTATGTAGACCCAGAGATCTGCCTGCCTCTGCCTCAGGAGTGCTGGGATTACAGGCTAGTGCCACCACACCCACCTAGTTTTTTATCTTTAAAGGGGAGAAAATACCAAGTTAGAGTATGAGGATTATCAGGAGTGATGCTCTTGAGCTGGGTAGATACAGCTCAGTGGTAGGATGCTTGCTTAGCGTGCATGACACACTAGTCAACCTCAGTACTGCAAAGAACAAAAAGAGTGATGCACTTTGCATAATGTCTGATACATGATAAACATTGTCATCCTCATTCTCTTACAGCTGAGGTTCTCAAAGTATACTCTGGGAACCCCTAAGAGTCTTTGAGACCCTTTTCAGGAAGTCTCAAGGAACAAAACTATTCTCATAAAAATATAATACAGTCAGCCCTTGATATCTAAGTTATTTCATTTTTTAAAAAAAGTTAAAATCGGGGGCTGGAGAGATGGCTTAGTGGTTAAGAACACTGGTTGTTCTTGCAGAAGACCCGGGTTCAAATCCCAGCACCCACATGGCAGCTAACAGCTGTCCATAACTCCAGTCCCAGGGGATCCAACAGCCTCTTCTGACTTCCATAGGCATTGCATGACCCAGGTGCACTTACCTACATGCAGGCAATACACGCATACATGTAAAATAAAAATAATAAATACAATTTTAAAAAAAAAGTTAAAAACTAGCTGGGTGTGGTGGCACATGCCTTTAATCCCAGCACTTGGGAGGCAGGCAGATCTCTGAGAGTTCGAAGCCAGCCTGGTCTCCATTAACGAATCCAGGCCTGCCGCAGCTACAGGGAGACCTTGTCTCAAAAAGACCAAAAAAAAAAAAAGTTAAAATCTGATCTGGGCAGATAATAAATAAAATTTGAAAAATAATAAATAAAATAAAATAAAAAATCAAGGGCTGGAGAGATGGCTCGGCAGTTAAGAACACTGGTTGTTCTTGCAGAAGATCCAACCTCGAACTCACAGAGATCTGGGTGTTGCACATCTTTAATCCCAGTACTAGGGAGGCAGAGTTAGGCAGATCTCGGTGAGGACAGCCTGGTCTACATAGTGAATTCCAGGACAGCTGGGGCTACAGGGAGACCCTGTCTCAAAAAGACAATTTAAATAATTAATTAATTAATTAATTAATAAAAATCAAGGCTGGGCATGATGTTCCACACCTTTAATCCCAGTAATCTGGAAGAAGAGGCAGGTGAATATGTGAGTTTGATGCTAACCTGGTATACATAGTGAGTTCCAGGCCAGACAGGGCTACATAGTAAAGCCCAGTCTTGAAAAACAAGGAAGGAGGGAAAGCTGGAGAGATGGCTATGCAGTTAAGAACACTTTCTGCTCTTCCAAAGGACCCAGGTTTGACACCCAGCACCCATATCAGCTACTCACAACTGCCTGTAGCTCCAGCTCCAGAAAAGCTCGTGCTCTCTTCTGGCCTCAGCAGGCACCTGGTTACACATATAACACACACACAGAGAGGCACATACATTTTTTTTAAGTTTTGAATACATTTTTGGAGATGGGGTTCTTTTTTATTTTTTAACTTTGTTTTTTGTTCTTTTAATATTTTATTATTTTTATTTTATGTATATGAGTGTATTCCCTGCATGTATGGGAGTGCACACATGTCATGCAATGCCAGCGAAGGTCAGAAGAGGGCTTCGGATTCCCCTGGAACTAGAGTTAAGGACGGTTTGTAGCCTCCATGTGGGTCTGGGAATCAAACCCGGGTCCTCTGCTAGAGCAGTCAGTGCTCTTAATCGCTGAGCCATTTCTCCAGCCCCTCTTTTTTATTTTTTATTTATATATTTATTTTTGGAGATAGGGTCTCCCTGTAGCCCCAGCTGGCCTGGAACTCACTATGTAGACCAGGCTGGCCTTGAACTCACAGAGATCCTGCCTCTGCCTCCCCAGTGCTGGGATTAAAGGCATATGCCACCACACCCAGCCTGAGATGGGGTCCTTTTTGAGACAGAACTCACTATGTAGATATGTAAATTAGACTGGCCTCCTTCTCACAGAGATCTTCCTGCCTCTGCCTCTGGAGTGCTGGGACTAGAGGCCTAGGCCACCATATCCCGCTTACTATTTATTTTTATTTTATGTATATGAGTGTTTTTTAATTTTTTTATATTATTTTTATTTTATGTGTATGAGTGTATTGCCTGCATGTATGTAGTGAGTGCACCCATGTCATGCAATACCTGCGGAGGTCAGAAGAGGGCATTCCCCCTGGAACTGGATCACATGTAATTGTTAGCTGCTATGTTGGTGCTGGAACTGAATTGTTAGCTGCCATGTGGGTGTGGGTCCTCTGCAAGAGCAGCCAGTGCTCTTAACTGCTGAGCCATCTCTCCAGCCCTTTTTTTGCTTTTTGATATGGGATCTTGCTATGGTAGTACAAGCTGACCTGGAACTCACTGTGTAGCCCAGACTGGCCCTGGAACTCAGAATCTTCCTACTTTAGCCTCCTGAGTACTGGGATTACAGGTTTGTGCCACCATACCTAAGAATGTTTTTTGGTTTGGGGTTTTTGGGTTTTTTTTTTAAATTTATTTAATTTATTTTGGTCTTTTTGAGACAGGATCTCCCTGTAGCCCCAGCTGACCTGGAATTCGCTATGCAGACCAGGCTGACCTCGAACTCGGAGATCTGCCTGCCTCTGTCTCCCGAGTGCTAGGATTAAAGGCATGTGCCACCACACCCAGCAAGAATGTATTTATAAAACTCATTATTTTGCACAGAATGTGATATAAATCACCTTTCTGTGATTGTATAATTCCCTACAACATACTCTACATTTTCATTACTGCATAACTTATTAGCTACATAATAGGGACTAGAGAGTAGCCTGTCTGTACTCTTCTATCTTTACCTTTTACACATATGAGGCTCTTGCTTCACAGTTAGCATTTAGCATTTAACTTGTGGCATTTGAACTAAAAATATTTTCCTCTGTCCCTTTCACAGGTTCACCTTCTTCATCAAGAAAAAGTGGAACCAGCTGTCCCTCCAGCAAAAATAGCAGCCCTAACAGCAGCCCACGGACTTTGGGGAGGAGCAAAGGGAGACTCCGACTGCCTCAAATTGGCAGCAAAAATAAATTGTCCAGTAGTAAGGAAAATTTGGATGCCTGCAAAGAGAATGGAGCTGGTCAGATCTCTGAGCTTGCTGATGCCTTGAGCCGAGGGCATGTGTTAGGAGGCAGCCAATCTGAGCTGGTCACTCCTTTGGACCATGAGGTCACTTTAGCCAATGGATTCCTTTATGAGCATGAGGCATGTGGCAATGGCTATAGCAATGGTCAACTTGGAAACCATAGTGAAGAAGACAGCACTGATGACCAAAGAGAAGATATTCATATTAAGCCTATTTATAATCTATATGCAATTTCGGTAAGTGGTGTGTGGTTTTCTAAGAATAGTCTTCAGTTTTTCAGTGGTTTCTTCACTTGTCTTCATTCGTTCATCAACAAGCATTTTTCAGGACGTACTTAATTGCTAGGCTTTAAGTTTGGTTATAGAGAAAGTTAACAAAGAATACTTGGCCTTCTGGATAGACTCTAAGCTCACAATGTGATATAGAAGATGGTCATATGAATGGATTCAGAGGTTCAAATTCCTTATTGTTATTCTTTCTGAGGAATTTTTTTCTTTCTTCTTTTCTATTTTTTGAGACAGAGTCTCCCTGTAGCCCCAGCCTACCTAGAACTGGCTTTGTAGACCAGGCTGGACTTGATCTTACAGAAATCTGCCTGCATCTGCCTCCTGAGTGCTGGGATTAAAGGTGTGCACCACCATACCCCCAAACTGTCAAATTTTTGTTCTTGTTTTTTGCTTTTTTTTTTGGTCTTTTTGAGACAGGGTCTCCCTGTAGCCCCAGCTGTCCTGGAACTCACTACGTAGACCAGGCTGGCCTTGAACTCACAGAGATCTGCCTGCCTCTGCCTCCTGAGTGACCACGCCCAGCTTCTTTTTGCTTTCTTAAGAATCACTTCAGAGCCAGATTTGGTGGCGCATGCCTGTAATTCCACCACTTTGGATACTAAAGCAAGAGGATCTCAAGTTTGAGGCCAGCCTGGGCTACAAAGAAAGACCCTGTCTCAAAAAAATAAATAAATCACACACATATATGTGTGATAGATACACATACATACGTATATATTAAGATCATTGTTTAACAGTATAACATTTGGATTTAGGATATTTGGATTTTGCTTTTTTTGTTGTTTTTGGAAAAAATTCGATGACTGCAAAACATTTTTTCCTTACCCACCTAAGTGATCAGTGTTTTCTTGCTCAAGTCTTAGCACCATGCCCTGGCCATAGTACTGTTAACTACTAACATACCACCACTCTCTTCTCTCTTTAGTGCCATTCAGGAATTCTGGGTGGGGGCCATTACGTCACTTATGCCAAAAACCCAAACTGCAAGTGGTACTGTTACAATGACAGCAGCTGTAAGGTAAATATTCTCAATATTTGAATGGAAGTTAGAAACAGAATATCAACAGATTTGGGGACTGTTATTGAAATAATAGCCTTTCTCCTGAACAGGAAATACATGTTTCTCTTAGGGCTTCTGCACAGATGCTGTAGGTGTTAAGGAATCAAAGGTGATGTGAAGAGTGGGAATGAATTGAAGTGTGAATAGTGAAGAAAAGGTGTTAATTAATGGGAAAAAGTAGAATCTTTTGGATTTGAGGTGCTCATGCCCTGTCTGCCTCTGTGCATGTGTCCCCATGCCCTACCATGCCTGAACATCAAACCCAGGATTGCATATGTGTTAGGCAAACATTCTACCAAAGAGCTGAATGAGCTCTCCAGTCTCAATCTTTTGAACTGTTAGAATTTGATGGGGTTGCTGGATGCCATGGCCACATCTTTAATCCCAGCACTTGAGAGGTGCAGGAAGATCAGGAGTTCCAAGTCATGCTCAGCTACATAATGAGACAGTGAGTTTGAGGCCAGTCTGGGCTACATAAAACCCTGTCTCAAAAAGTCCCTCCTTACCCTAAAAAAAAAAGGAATTTGATGAGGTTTACAGCATTTGTTGGCCTGTGATTAGAATATTTCCCTCAAAACAAAAATTGAAAATAATGAGACTCGGGTCTGGAGAGATGGCTCGGCGGTTGGGAGCACTGACTGCTCTTACAGAGGACCTGGGTTTGATTCCCAGCACCCACATGGCAGCTACGAACTGTCCTTAACTCCAGTTCCAGGGGAATCTGACACCCTCTTCTGACCTCCTTGGGATTACATGTCATGGGTGCACTCACATACATGCAGCAATATACTCATACACATAAAATAAAAATAATAAAATTTTTTTTTTTTAAATGAGACTCAGCCGGGTGTGGTGGCTCATGCCTTTAATCCCAGCACTTGGAGGCGGATCTCTGTGAGTTTAAGGCCAGCTGTGGCTACAGGGAGACCCTGTCTCAAAAAGACAAAAAATAATAATAATAATAATGAGACTCATTTTTAGGGCTGGTGTGAGATAATCAACATGTTCAGTTGATTGAAGAAGCCAGGGTTTGTTGTTAATTAGAGAGAGTTGGTCTTACTAGCAAGGATTGAGCCCACAGAACGATGGCTTTCTCATTAAAGGCTTTTCTTATTCCTTTAGGAACTTCACCCTGATGAAATTGACACCGACTCTGCCTACATTCTTTTCTATGAGCAACAGGGGATAGACTATGCACAATTTCTGCCAAAGACCGATGGCAAAAAGATGGCAGACACGAGCAGCATGGATGAAGACTTTGAGTCCGATTACAAAAAGTACTGTGTGTTGCAGTAAACTACCACTCTGGTTGCTAGACAGGCTGGTGGTGAGGGAGATGACTCCTTGTAGCTGACATTTGGCAGAAGCATCACTGAAAGGCAGGCTAAATGTAGTTATTTTGTCCTGTGACCCGAAGCACAAAATAAAAATCCTAATTAAAATAACAGTCAACTTTAAGAATAGTAATAATTTTGTTTTGAAGTCTCTCACAAGCTCTTTGGTAGAACTTTCAGGCAGATCCCACCATTAGCCTGTAAGCAAAAGGGTTTGGCATCAACCATCTGGGACCAAATAAGAATTAAATTGTGCTTGTCCAGATACGAACAGATTTGTAGTGAGTATAGAGTTTACCAGTAATCATAATAAAATACTAAGAATTTCCTTGGAGTCAAAGTGAAAAACAAAAAATTTGTAGTGTTGTCTGGGGACGACATGATACGCTACCTCCTTTTTCCTGAAGTTTTATTCCAGTATATTGACAAGATGGAGAAAGCAAGATCATGAAGGTGTGCAGATGATTCTTACGGTATGGACACCGATTCTCAATTTTTTAACCCATTTCCCCACTCTTGTCTTTTTTTGCTTTTTGTTCTTGTTGAGTTTGTGTTTGAAACGCAGTGACTGGTGTTAGAAGCATATAGTAGTCACTCTGCAAGGGAGAGTCTCATAAAAACTATGTGCCTTCTACCTGGGGTCTTAGTTGGGATACTCGGGAGAAAGAAAAGCACTCTGTGGGACCCAGCTGAAGTGGCCCTCTTGCTGGGGCATCTGTCTTTGGGGTATCCTCAGAACCCTATACCCCGTGCCCTGCTGAGGGGCAGGTGGCTGCCAGTATTTGCACCATCTTCCCATGCATGTGTTGCACAAAGAGCTTCCTGGAAGGTGCGTGGCATCAAAGCCTGATGGTGTTTCCCCTTAGTGGTGTTTCTTTTTGTTTCTTGTTTTGCACTTTAAAAAGAGAGAGAACACATGCAGACAAATTTACTTGTATTTTAATGGCTCTAAGGGCTATGAATTAACTCAATTGAGGTATTTTTCTCCATCGTATCATATTTAAAAAGAAAAATACATCCCAAGCAATGATAATTCATAAACATAAATATTTTTAATGAAATTGATACATTTAGGAAGTAAACACGTTCTGTTGTTCTGTTTGCATGTCTGTTCCCTTTCCACTTCCTCTTTTTTTTTTTTTTTTGCACTAGTCAAAAGGTATGCTTTCTTCACTCATTTATTTTCTGATTGTTCAAGACTGGAACAAAAGTATAAATGTTATTTATTTCTGACAGCATTTTTTTCCTATGTTGTGCTTTAATATATATTCAAAGCAAATGTTTGATCTGTTAAAAATTTCATTTCGATCCTGGAAGCTTATTCTCACTTGTTGTCAGGTTCTCTTACCCTCCATCCTCACGGGTAGTAAATACCAGTGTAATGAAGCATTTGTGTTCTGATAGCTGAGGCCAGTAACTTCCTAGTTCTCAGTGCATTTGGAAAAGTTGTCTTACAGCTGCCGAAGTGGACACCCTTTTCAGAAGAATGTACTTGCAAGTGTGGAGCAGCCTAAATGGTATGATGTAATGAAGTCAGACAAAATGCATACTTTATAGACTCAAGATTTTCAGTATACAAAATTGTCCATTCCTACTTGGACAAGTCCCTTGAAAAAGTGGAAGATTTTAAATAATTTCCTTACGGATGTTTTATTTAAGCAGGTAGCACAATCTACTAATGTTGTTTGATCTGTGTTTGTTATATTGGTTGTAATTAATTTTTTAAATTCAAGAACTACCAGAAAATTTATTAAATTAACTATTAACTACATTCACCTTGTAAATTTCTGTATAAAACTTGTTGACAATGCACTGACTTTAGAAAGATGTTAATGTACATAGAGTGTAAATAAGATAGTGTTGATGTACTGAAATATGAACTGTATAAAAAGTATTAGTAATTGTATATGGCGTGTACCTGTTTATCTGTAACTATTATCCAAATAATTAAATACTGCGGATGTCTGTGTGTTGTTTTTCCTTTCACAAGTAAACACACACAAAAAATCCATTTCTTCAGCCTCTCTGTGATCCTGTTTTAATTCTAAGTGTGTAACACCAATCTGATTTTCAAGAGGATGCCCTACTTCAAGAAATAAAATCTCGAGCCAGGTATGGTGGCACACTCCTTTGATCCCAGCACTCAAGAGGCAGAAGCAGGCAGATTTCTGTGAGTTCAAGGCCAGCCTGGTCTACATAGTGAGTTACAGACCAGCCAGGGCTACAGGGAGACCCTGTCTCAAAAAGACCAAGAGGAGGAGGAGGAGGAGCTCGAGCTCTATTGAGACAGAATGAGCTACCTGCAGTGACCAGGTGAATTTTATTTAAATATGGCTCACATTTCCTGTAAAAAATTATTTTGAAGGCACTGAAATGGGAAGGAGGGGCGGGGAGGGAGGCCCCAAGTTGTAGAGGGTGGCAGAGATCCCCTGGAACTGGAGTTACAGACAGTTGTAAGCCATACCACAAGGAACTTGGGTCCTCTGCAAGAACAGCATGTGCTCGTAACCATTGAGCCATCTCTCCAGCCCCCCTGGTTGTCTTTCTGAGAGATCTCCAAGGGGGCCATTGACACTGTTGAAAACAAATGAAGATTTAGAATTGTCATTCACCCTGTAGTAATTTTGTTTACCTATAAAATTTGAATATCTAATACTCGAGTTTATAGAAAGTAAGTAAACTACGTAAATGCTAGGCAGTTTCTTGGTTCGTACCCAATGGATGTGAAAGTCTGACTCCGTGAGATTCAGCCCTGTTTTGCGGTTTTTTTTAATCTTGCACTATGCTGACACAGTAAGAGGATTTAATAGCTCTCTGCTCACGTTCTTCTAAAATAATACACACTGAGAAAACATCAAATGAAATGTATTGAATCAGCAGCAGTGGTATCTTGTTTAAGGAAAGGAGCAAACAGAAAATGAATCTAAACAGCCATAAAAACAAAGCACAGCTCCTGAAGTACCAGTCTGTATTCCTAGCTTTTTTAAAAAATATTTTTATTTTATGTTTATGCATGTATTGCCTACATGTAGGTAAGTGCACCCATGTTGTGCAACGCCCGTGGAGAACAGAAGAGACTCTTGGATCCCCTAGAACTGGATTTACGGACAGTTCTTAGCTGCCATGTGAGTGCTGGGATTCGAGCCCAGGTCTTCTGCAAGAAGTCAGTGTTTTTAACCACTGAGTCATCTCTCCAGCCCCTGTATTCCCAGATTTTATAAAGAGCCTTAAGTCAAGTGTGATCGAGCATGTCTTTAATCCCAGCACTTGGGAGGCAGAAGCAAAGAGATCTCCCTGAGTTCGAGGCCAGCCTGGTCTACGTAATGAGTTCCAAGCCAGCTGGGCTACAGGGAGACCTGTCTTAAAAAGACCAAGATATGTACACGTGTCTATGATCAGAGACCATCCAGGACAAACCAATAAAAAGAGGCCATCTTGGGGCTGGAGAAATGACTCAGCAGTTAAGAGCACTGGCTGTTCTTGCAGAGGACCTGAGTTCTGTTCCCAGCACCCACCTGGCCACCCATAACTGTCCAGAGCTCATAGTGGTTCCAGATGGTCTTCTGACCTACACAAGCCATTGCACACATTTGGTGCACTTACATGCAGGCAAAACATTCACACACAAAAATAAATTTAAATTTTTTTAGGAGTCCAGCTTTAGGTTTGCTGGATCTTGACCAGTGGGAGGTAAGATGGCAGGTCAGAGTACATGAGTCATAAACTAAGGGCTATAGGACCAGATGGGAATAAAATGTTAAGAACAGAACAGATCATGATGAGATAAGGAGTCTAGACCATCTAAAAACTCCATCTAATTGTTGAATAATGTGTTAATCACATCTCTCCCCCTAACCCCCTGAAAAGTCAGAAATTTATCCAGGTGTGGTCGTGCATGACTTCAATCTCAGCACTCAGGAGGCAAAGACAGATCTCTGAGTTCCAGGCCAGCCTGGTCTGCATCTCCGGTTATAGGTCAGCCAGGACTGCATAGTGAAACACTGTCTTAAAAAACCAAAACAAGACAGAAAAAGTGAGAAATACAGACACTAATACAAAATAACCTATTTAGAAATGAAAAGCTGGGCATGGTGATGCTAGTCTGTAATCCCAGCATTTAGGAGGCAGAGGCAGGAGGATTGCTACAAGAGTGAGGCTAGCCTGGGATAGACAGCAAGTTCCAGGGAAGCCTGGGCTACAGAGTGAGAATCTGTCTCAAAACAAAAAGGTAATGAATTGGTGGAGAGGGATACTAAGGATTGAACCCAGGATGCCTCACACACGTTAAACACCCTGCAACTGAACTATATCCCCAGTACTATACTATCCAAATAAAAACTTACAAACTGGAGCTGATAGAACATTCTAGTACTTGAAAAGTTGAAATAGGATCATTTGAGCCCTAAGTAACAGAACAAGACCTTCTCTCAAAAGCACTTTGTGTGCAAGCAAAGTACAAGCCACTAGTTCATGTCCTCTGGTAATTACAAAGGTTATGAATCCATTTAGGGAAGACATCAGATTTTAGCTGTTAACTAAAAACAAGGTCCTGGGAGCTGGAGAGATCTCAGTCGTTAAGAGCACTGACTCTCTTGCAGAGGACCCAAGTTCGATTCCCAGCATCCACATGGTGGCTAACAACTGTCCATAACTCCAGTTCTAGGGGATCTGATGCTACCTTCTGACCTCCACAGGCATTGCATGACATGGGTGCATTTACACACATGCAGGCAATACACTCATAAAATAAAAATAGCCGGGCGTGGTGGCGCACGCCTTTAATCCCAGCACTCAGGAGGAAGAGGCAGGCGGATCTCTATGAGTTCAAGGCCAGCCTGGTCTACATAGTGAGTTCCAGGACAGCTGGGGCTCCAGGGAGACCCTGTCTCAAAAAGACCAAAAATAAATAAAAAATAAATAATTTAAAAAAAAAAACAAAACAAGGCCCTTAAGACCCTCAAAGGGTCTGTGCCCCATGAGAATATCAGTTTAGGGGCTGTAGAGATGGCTCAGTAGTTGAGTGCTTACTGCACAATCATGAGAACTATTTCAAATTCCAGTATCCCATATAACAAGCAGGGCATCCCTCAAAGGCCTGTACTCCAGCTCCACGGAATCCAGCACCCTTTCTGACCCCTGCATGTGCACCCACACATGTACACATACACAGACACACCTACATACATAAATCATGAAAAAAATCATTTCCAAAAGTTATTGGAAAGGATAAATCATGTATGTAGATAGAGCTAGATAGTGGAATAAAGGTACTCTTCACAGACTTGGGAAAATAACAGGTATGATAGTTGGGATAGTTTCGGGATCAAGTTTACTACCAGTTGGGAGGCATATGGCTAGACAACACGTGAGCGCCTATTTATAGAACTTATTGCTAGTTTACTAGGTACAGTAGTTCACAGCCTGGCAATCCATCAGCACATCATGAGACTCATGTAGGAGCTTGTTAAATCCAATGATCCAAGTCTCACCCATCATTGTTATATCCCAAATGGCTTTCCTGCTTTTTACACACAGACTTACAAGATCATCTCCTGGCAGTCCTAGGATCTACATTTTAATAAGCTCCTCAAATGAGATTCTTTTGTGACTAGTTTGCACTGGTCAGCAGATTGGTCATTTATAGAAACTACTGCTCCAGAGACTGAATCATTACTCCATTCTACTTAGGGAAAGATGACAGATAAACAAGTGTATATAAGTAAGGAGTGTCAGTAATTAACCAAGGCAGAGTTGCTGTAATGAAGTGCTGTCCTTATGAAGCGTTGGCTAAGGACATCTGACAAAATGCTTAAGCAAAACTAAGTGGAAAAAACAAGCTGTGCACTGAAGATCAGATTTATCTTGAAGTATAGAGTACTTCAGGCAGACAATGAGACAGAATTGAGCAGTACACTTCCCAGGCAGTATGGACCTGTTCAAGCTGAGTTGAAGGTACATGAGGCATGTAGAAGATGGCCAGGAGACAGGAGCCACAATCTGAGGACCTTTAAGGGTCAAACCAGTTAAAATGAAACTTTGATATTGCCAAATATTTTGGTATGGGCTAGGAAACAACATTTTCATATTTCATATGTGTCATGCAATCTCCAATGGAGCCCGCGTGAGATCCTCCGCGGGGTGAGGCTGAAACTTCAAGGAAGGTTGCCTCTTGGAACTGGCAGTGCAAAGAAGATCTTCAGTGTACTTGGCTGTATTTTGCTTGCTATTATCTTTATGATTGTCATTCTTTTATGGGTATCTAGGAACTCGTTTTCCTCAGATGACCTTGTCTCCTGATGCACCTTTACTGCTTAAAGCTATAATAGAAGCTGCTAGAAATAATCAGTCATGGAATATCATGGACAGAATAAAACAAGCAGAGCTAATGATGGAAGATCCTAAAGATGATATATTTCCTATAGGACAGACAAGTCAGAGAAAAGACCCTAATTCTGGTACTAGGAGAAAAGGAAAGTTACCACCAACTGTTATGACTAATTTTGGTCCGGCTTATGTTTTGGCAGGAGGTAGATTATGGCATCCACCGAGAGGGAAAGAAAGTATGTATAAAATTCCAGAACCTATGGATGAACCACTGCCTTTTACAGGAACATATGATAAGGAAGGGGGTAGATGGGTTAATATAGGAGGAAAAAGGATTTCTTGGCATTCATTACAATTCATGGACAGACTTGCCAGATCTAGGCCACCTTGGTGCCTGCTTAGTAAGGAACAAAAGGAGAGCATACAGAGACAATTGAAGAATGTGTTTATTTCTTGGATACTGATACTGCTTGGGGTTTGGGACAGTATAATGAACAGGGAAAAACAAAAAGTGGATATAAAGCAACAGTATTGTGAATCACCTGGAATTCAAATAGAAATACTAATGATTATAGAGCTAATATTGAAAGCACATATTGGTTTGAGGTCATCTCACGGCGTAACCACAGAATATAAAAAAGTT